AGCAGCTTAAAACTCATAGGGTGCTTGTGTATATGCACCCAAAATCCCAAGAGGAGAATGGAGCAGGGATTGTGGCATGGCCATCCACCCAGGGGGTGATTTCTGGCTCTCTGTCTCTCCAGCAAGAGCAGGTGCACTATAGCAAAAAATCTCTCTCGAAAGAGAGAGAGAGAGATTACAATTAAAACAGTTTCAAAAAGTAAGCTTTTAGAAATACTGGCTGAAAACAATGAACAGAAAGATGATTTGGACAGGATGGACAATTCAGGCAAGATAAAGACCATTCAACAGAACCTACAGACGGAGATACAAATTCATTACTCAATGTGTTCCAGAACCTCTTTCTGGGGAGTAAAGCCAAGTGGGTAGAGGACTCAGCCTTACAGAAAGCAGCTTGAGAAGTGTCTGACCATGATGTAAAAGAATTCTATTGTGGCAGTGTTTCCTTTTGTCTTGATACATCTTTTAAACAGCAAACTGCAAGTGAATGTAGTTGAAGTTCTTTGGAACTTTCTAAGTACCGTGTTCTCGAGCTTTACTTACCAATGTAACTTCAAATCTATTGTTTTAAATATGACAATTAAAGTAACTGACATACTACTGTGGACAGAAGTCTGACTACTTTTCCTATTTTTCCAAAATCTTTTCAAAAGGGGACTGGAGAAGTCATGCCCACAAACATTAACAGACCATTTACTTTCTATTAACAGGATTCTTCCTACCTCCTGTCCATGGCATAGTATCTTTGAGATGTATATTTCAACCAATTACAGTGTATTCTTTTGCTTATTTCTTCCCAAGACAGAGTACTTCCCTTTTCCTTAAGATGTAGATTAAGCCTTTCTTTAACTAATCTCTTCCCAAGACAGGGATCTTCCCTTCCAATAGCTGACCTAAGAATTTGCGGAGCCCACCTATAACCTACAAGCCTCCCCCCACCTTCTACATGTCCCGCCTTTTTGGGCCAGACCAATGGGAAATCTTTTAATTAAATGTTGTCTGTCAATCTCAAAAGCAAATAAAAGGAACTTCTGTACATGATCACTCCGAGAAAAGGCATGTATGCCTCTTCTCCGGCCTAGGTCACACAGTTGGCTTGGAAATAAATCGCATTAATTATTAATTTTACAGTTGGTTATATTTTTTTCCGTCGACACTAAAAAAATAGTAATACCATTGACAGAAGAGTCCTCCTAAAGAGGTCTTCTTAACCAGAAATTAATTTTAAAATATTTAAGGTTACTGGATTATGAGAATTGTCAAATGTGAACATTGTCTCAATCGAAAACAAGATAAACTAAAATACATTATTAAAGTATTATTGATTAAAAATAGAAGTAAATAAAATTAAAGATTCTGTGGAAAATTAGAGAGGAAGAGTTAAGTTAAATAAGATAAAGCTATTGCAGCCAACTAAAGACATTGAAGAAACACTTTCTGGAAAAATGCACATCAAAGAATGGACTGTAAAGTAAACCGATAGCAGACCGATCAACAAACAATGGGAAAGCTTGAGCTCCCGCACTGGGAAAGACCAGGCCTCACAGGTTCCCTGCTGTTAGGTGACCTTTAACAAATCCCGATTTTATTTAAAATGGTCCTGGTCTATGGAGTCTCATCTAAGGCAGTGTCAGAGCACACAGACCTGGGTCCCTACCTTGGCGACACTCTGCAGAGGCTCCATTCTCAACAGAGCAAAGGACAGGAATTTCCCTTAGGGTCACAGGTACATGTGGAATGCAGTCTTGTCAGACCAGAATAATAGAGGTACACCCACGCGATGTCCGGGTTTTGCTCCACCTAGTTTTCCATTTTCAATAGTCAACCCTTTAACACAGAAAAACGGGGAAAACGCAATCCGCGAGGCGCTTCCCTCTGCCTGCGGCAAGCGGCCCAGGGACGTCCCCCTTTCTGCCCCAGCACAACCGTCCCCAGAACACCCCGGGTATGCGGAAACACGGGACATCCCCCTTCTCCCAGGGACTGGGAGAAATGCCACGCTCCTCCTGGCTCCCCCGCAATCCCCAATGGGCCCGCCAAACTCACCGGGGCGTGCAGCACTCATTTGGACGGAGCTGGCACCGAGCAGGGTTCCCTCCCTACTGCTCCCTGCCCTCTGCCCTCCGCCCTCCGGAGAAGCCCCCAGGCCTCTGGAGGAGGGTCCCAGGTGCTCTGCACAGCCCAGACCTGGGTGGGCGGGTCCTGGCAGGAAAACCCGCCCACTACCACTCACTGGGCAACTACAGCCCTGACTGCACCAGGCCACCCGCCCACCCAACACCGAGTCCTGGTCTTTCTTATCTTTTCTCTAGGGAACATGAGAAAGAGACAAAGAGGGAAAGTGAGAACTCACTCCCTGGAGGAATGGCCAGAGACAGAGAAAAAAATGGACAAGGGCCTGTTTGCCAGAGAGACAGAAAGGAAGAAGTCACCCCTCGGGTGAGATGACCACACCAAAATCCCTTCTACTGTATCTTCCTCTCAGGATTTTGGGCATGCAGGCCTGGCATGGTTTTCAAGCTGCTGTTCCTGAAACTCCAACAGCACAGTCTGTCATGTGAGATCCAGACACTTTAACCACCATGCCACTGGCTGGTCCCAGTTTTGATTGCTTGAAGCCGTAAACTTGGAGAGTCAAATAAAAATAAAGCCCATCATCTGCTTTGATGCACTGGATGATGATAACAAGAAGCAAAGTATTACAGATGGTCAAGAACCAAAAAGCAGTTGAGTTCCTATACATCAGCATTAAAGAGATATTTGCTATTTAAAATGAAACAAAAATCCATATATGATACCACCCCCAAAACAGAAAGCCTTATGCACAAGTCTAACAAAACTTATGCAAGTATATAATCACCAAACCTTGAACCAGTTGAGAGAAACATGAATAAATGCAGGCAAACTCCTTGTTCAATACTAGTACACTCCTTATTAGAAGACAGTCTTCCTCGCTTGAACCACAGACTCAGCGGAATCCCAATCAAGTTTCCACAAAGCGATCAGCACATTATTTTTAAACCTAAAATAGATGACATTAGACTGAAGAGCAAAGTTAAAGAACTTGCACATCTGGATCTGAACACTTAGCATAAAGAGACCCGTGTACATATAGTCAACTGGTTTTGTCAACGGGACAAAAGGAATTTATTGAAGAAAGGAAAGCCTGCTCCACAAATGGCAGCAGAACTAGGAAAGCTGAAAAAAGGGACATCAATGCAAACTCTGGAACTCATCAGTAACACCAAACATATTAACATTTCATAGACTTAAATTTTCAAATGTGAAATCACAAAAGTTATGCAAGAAAGCACAGAAGAGCATCAGAACCACTGCACTTGGGGATGCTACCCTCCAGTCCACACCCCTCCTTCTAGATGCTAAAGATTCACTCCATGTTCTGCCTCACCCCTGCTCCAGGAACTGGTGTGGCTGAGGATCCTCATGAAAACACAGGGGCTTCATAGGCTCCAGGCTAGGAGGGATGCCTATCTGAGCTGGAGGAGGTTTGTCTTTGGGAGTCTGGGACTGCTGGTACTTCTTCCTGCCCAGGACACAGAGAACAGGGAGCCCCAGGAGAGATGCCCCTGTGACTCAGGGCCCATTTCTTTTAAGTTTACTTGATTTTCCAATGAGTGACAGAGACACCCAGAGAGACAGGTACCCCAAATGGAGATCTCCATGCCACACTCACCTCCAGTCTTAGCCAGTCAGCCCTGGATCATGGGCACACATTCCCACCATACTCTGGCTGGTCTCTAGATATGAACTTGGTACCCTTCCATGTAGATCAGTCCCCAGGCCCCTTGGTCCATTTTATCCTACCTTCTAAACTTCAGTGACCCAATCCCTAAACAGCCTTGTCTCAGCACTCACTGGGTAGGGGATCCCAGTCCAGCACCAAGCCCAGCAGTCAGTATGCCTGGAGCACCCAGGGGGGGGAATGGAGGCTCCTGGGAGGGGCCATGGGCCTAAGCCAATAGGAGTTGAGATCAGTCAAAGGTGGGGCGGGTGGGGAGGGGGTGATCACCAGCAGGGG